GAAACCGGCAGGCCGCGTGAGCGCCAGTTCACTTTGCACAGATACTGACGAAGTAGATTCAATGACTCATAAAAAGGCACTTAACAACGGTGAACCAGATGAATGAATGAACATGCATCAAGTCCCAGGTACTTAAGTGTGGTGTTTGTGAGCATTAGTGCGCAGGTAGGAGAACAGAGACCGCCCTTACAGCATCACCACATCGTGGTTAGCCATACCACTTGTGGTGTAATATGAATCATATTAATAGCTGGGCATGCAACATTCATATGCTGCCAACAGGCATTCAGTAGTATAACCTACGCAATGATTTATCATACTGAGAGCACAGGCATAAGGTAAGACTTTTGTATTGTAAAGATTAATTGGTAGGGAAAGGTACAATTTCAAAAGTTAAGTATCTACCAGACTGAGTAGAGAGCCGAACCCCTCGCAGCTGTGCCATGCAGTGGCAGAATATCGGCGAAATACGTGTCTGGACTTTTAGCTAGTACCTGTGCCGCCAATATGGTAAATAATTAGCTAGCTTCCACTGACTACCTAGTCGTACTAGGTAATCACTCCATTCAGAAGCGTAGATAATGAGCTAGCCGAAGTTACTACTTGAGACATCAGACGCCAAATAGACATCCTCTGGTTAACGCCTTTCCTCATTTTTCCATGCGACCTGGGAGTCGCATTTTGACTAATTTTGAACCCCAATGCAGCTATTGTCCCCGAGCCAAAGACCAAGAAAAATATACCAATCTGCTTCACTGTCAGGGGCCACTTGGCCTAGGACTCATTGTAAGCCGCAACACTGACCAACAAAGCGCCCTGCCCGTCATTGAAGTAAAAACACAATTTAATGAATCTGAGCATCGTCGATTACGACGAAGCATAAAAGGATAAAAAGGCTTTTTAATGGACTCGTGGTATCCTACATTCGTGTTGGAACCAAAAAATACTCTAACAAGCCTGGTCCCTAAAATTACATAAGAAAGCACTTGCTTTGATTATTTTTTGAAATAACACGACGGTTAGTTTTATTTTACTGCATAAACTACCTAAGCCTTAGTCGGTAAAGGATCTACCCGTTGCTGGACAAAGCAAATTGTTTAGTTATTTAATAAGACATTAGTTCTATACCGAAATACCATTGAAAAAAACGTCAAATTTTCCACAGAGAGGGCTCGGGACCGACCTACCGACTGGTTATCGTCGACCCCGGACGACATTAGTTCAGGACGTCGCGAAGCGTTACTGGCGCAAGCCAATATAACTGCGCGTATTTACCCATACCGTATTCGGAGGGAAACTTATAAACTCCATCAATGTGATATACCGTGATTTTTTCGTTCAACTTAAGTGGCATGGCATAAAATCCATATTCACTCGGGCCTCGGCAGGCATGCCAGTGCATAACTTCTGGAAATGTTGAATGCCTTCTTATCAGGCATCCTTTTCAAAATAACTGGGGAATATTAAATGACACGCACTTTTCAGGTGCTTTTATATCTTTGGTCAAGGTTTTGACACGGTCAACATACTTTTCAATAATGTTATGAAAAAAAATATCAGTTTGTTCTGAAGATCCTTATACACTGTTGCCTAGGAAGTAGGGCAGATTAGATGGAAGCAGACTCGTGTCGTGGAAAGTATTAAGACTGAATGAACCATTGTTGCCTCAACTCAAGGAGCGGGAGGGTGTTTTAGACAATAGAAGTATCTGTGCCTAAATAATACCACGCAAATCATTCAACTTGATTTATACACGTTCGTATCTTTATCGAAAGGAAGTTGTTCGTCAAAATGTTTAAGAGGAGAGCATCTGAAAGTACAAGGAGTAGACATCCTGAAATGGCACAGAACTCGACCGAAGGGCGATTTTCGAATACGAGGACTGTTGTTGAGGAAGCATTGGACGTTGTATAGACCATCTAAACGTGGTCGCAATTCATGGAGTCAAAAAAAGTTTCAAACGTATCAGAAACGTCTTTCTCCATGCAACCTAAAGTTGTCAGGATAAGGGCTCCTTTTGTGCAACTACAAACACGACGTACAACCTAGTAACTCTGGATAAATATTATGATTGGCACAGCGGTGGTGGTGGTGGTGGCGGCAAGGATACTTAAAGATTATGACAAAAGCGAATGTGAAATTGGGGATAACTATCATGATGAATGGAAGAATAGCAGCCGGAAACCTTGAAATCGAATCGTTATTAGCTGGCGAGTGTAATTCGTTAGTGGTATGACAGTTTTCCATCTGAATTTATTAATCTAACACGTTGCGTGGGGGGGGCACATCAAGAACATCAACGCTCAAGTTGCATTCAAGTGAACAAATAATACACAATGAAGTCAACTGTTAAGAAGAATATACCAACGAAGAACACCAAAAATTACAGGAAACCCTTTCGGTATTGCGTCGTTCCAAGGGAGAGTCTCGGGTAACAGGTCTTCATACAGAAACATGTAATAATGCTAGGCAGAAGATAAGGGCGAAAGCTCGATGAAAGAAACTGGACGGTTCGCAAGTATTAGTTTTAAGTAGACATATTAGTTAATACAAACGCCTAAAATTGCTTACAGTACCAATGTACCCGGAATTAAGACGTGGACAAGAAGGTAGCTAAGCAATTACAACGAAAGTCAATCAGTGCGTTTGAGATTCCTTTCACTAAACAACCATAAAGTATAAATTTGCTGTATCATACATGAGTTCAAAGTGTGATTCGTCGTAAAAATGTCAATGAGGCTGGTTCAACAATTTCAAATAAGCGGAAACTTACTTTCCCATCTACGTCGCTGCTTCCACACTCAAAAGTCTTGAGGTACTCTCTGAAGACGTCCTGTTCAGTCCACTCGCCATTCTGATATTTCGGATGACTCTTTGCGTTATAAACGCCCTTCAGGTCAGCCGGCTATTCAAAACATAATATTTATAAAACAATCGTTAGCGGTGAAGACATCACAGTTGAAGATAGGAAGCAACTAAAATTTATCCCCTGAATAGTAAATATAGTTGATCGTGACCTAGCCGCTGATAATAACAACAAGAAAAAGCAAGCAGAGTTCGTTTGCATTGTAGCAAACAGAGCTGACCCTGGGTTTGTTTAACCAGAGTGGGACACAAA